ACATGATGAAGGATGGTGATCATTACGTGCTTGTCATTTATGATGTTTACGGCGAAGATGCCGACGAGTACTCGTGCAGGGCAATCAACCCTGGCGGAGTGAAATCCACGCGTGCCGAACTCATCATCAAAAGTTAGTTTCTTAAATGCAGTAATTATTGTCTTTCCGACTTGTTAAAAACGATGAAGCATTAGTTTTCGGATTAAAGACCGGGTGTCTTTGCATTACTTTTCGGAATAATTATCATTTTTTTTATTCCAGGCTGAAGAACATACTGTGACTCAATGTTGAGGCCTAAAAATCTTTCAAATTCGAAACGCAAAAACTTTTCCAGATTTCCCCGTGAACTTGTCTCGAGTCGGGATGAAATTTAAATGTTTCAATAGTTTTCAACTTTCTGACACTGCCCAAATTTATTTAAAGTTTTTCATTTTTCATTTAAAGCTCAGGGTGACCAGAAAGAGCAAAAACGATTTTAACTGTAATTATTTAGCCGCTTTGTTTTCTCGCGTTGGATAGAAATGTACGTACGAATAATTAAGTTTTCATTTCGAGGAAGTTAAGTTCGGATATTCGTTGTCCAAAGAGAATCCTTGAATACCGCTTTTGCTGCCTTTTACTGATTTTGATGATTTATATTATTGCAGCTCCTCCAAAGTTCAACATTCCTCCGCGATTCCGCGACACTGCGTTCTTCGACAAAGGCGAGAACGTTGTCATCAAGATTCCTTTCACGGGCAATCCCAAGCCAAGGATTGTGTGGTCCAAGGATGGAGAGGTTATCGAATCTGGAGCTCACTTCTCCGTCTCCAAGAAGGTAAATGTCTGAATCATGGGTCATTTTCCGATGTTTCAATTATTTTTTTCGATTTTATTTTTCAGGAGCGTCATGCAATTTTAGTGATCAAAGATGCTTCGCGGCTTGACAGCGGTCCTTACAGCATTGTAGGCGAAAACGAGCTCGGAATGGACTCACACATCATCAAAATCCAGATCAGCGGTAATTCTTATAAACTTTGTCTTTCGTATGTATAGATAACCTACCGGATATTTTCCTTAAATTCAGATTCTTTAAACCTGGAAAATATCAGATTTTAATTGGTTTGATAAACCTTTCCCAGTAAATGCTCTAAAGTCAGTTCTGGAATAGCAGAGAATCTGTGAGAGCCAATGTTGGCTAACAGGAAAGCGTGGGGAAAAATGTATGCCTGAATATGTCATAAATCTTGGCCCTTCGGCAGTTTGGGTAAGTTCCTTGTCTAGAGGCGAAAGAAGATAACCCGCGTGAGGCGATAAATTTCCCGCTTTAAAAAAAGTAAAGCCAATTCATGTAATCGACGCAGTTGAGTTCCTTTCAGTCAGATCTACAAGTCGGTTTTTCTAAACCAATATTTTGGTTGCGTAATTTGATGTGATAATTTATTCCCTGTTGATTTACGAAAAAATGGTTTCCGCTAAATGTGAGTATTAATTATTTTCACGCATTAAATGTTGAGCCTGTGCATAAAAAAAAAATTATTGAGCTTCAAGAAGCATAAAAAATAAGAATTTCGAACCGATTTCGGGCAGCAGCGCGGGATTCCTGGGCCAAGTCCGAGACCTTTTCAAAATTCCCGCGTAATTTCGAGTCTAAATCTCCCAGATTTGTGTCACAGCAACAAAAAAAATCTTCTTATATTCGATATAGACCGTCCGGACCCACCGAAAATGCCGACGATCGAGAAGACTCTTCGGGACGGAGTTTTCCTCACGTGGCAGCCGCCTTCTTGGGACGGCGGCTCGCACGTCACCTCGTACATTGTGGAGCGTCGAGAGGAGCCCATGACTTCTTGGATTCGTTGTGGTACGACGCGGTTGACGAGCCATCAAGTGACGGAACTTTCTCCCGGTAAAACGTACGAGTTCCGCGTCATGGCGGAAAATGTTTACGGCCGCAGCGACCCGTCGGCTACGTCCAGGTCCGTGCATTTGCCGGACGTTGAGAAAAAGGACAAGTCGAAGAAGCGATACGAATGTGAGTATAGCCGGATTGATTGATTTCGTTAAAAGCCCATCTTTTGTTCGCGGAGGTGGTCGTTATTCAGTTTTCTATGATTTTTTTTTTCAGTTGACGAGACCGGGAAGAAAATCCGGGGACGAGCGGACGAGAAACCGAAAGACTATGATCAATTCGGTGAGCATTACCGGTTTTGTTTTCTTGCTTGAAGTTTTAATTTATGCATCTTGAGAACGAGTAAATTTGTAATTCCTCGGCCATGTCTGAAGCTAATCAAACATTAAAGTCGAGCTCCGATTGAAAAGTGTCCCGTGTTCTAGGATTTTAGAGTTTAATAAATAGGAGGAAAATTCAAAATTTTTCTTCGATGAATGAGCATCATCGTGTTCAAGTGCCAATCGTATTGCAGTTCTACATTTCCTTTCCGTTTCACTATAAAGGGCTCCTTTTTATTTTACAGTATACTTAACTGTCCACTGAAAGGGAAATCCAAAAATTTTTCAATTGAAAATTTAGAAGTTGAAATGGAATAAATGTGCAATTTGATGTTATACCGAAGAAAAATATCTAAGTTTAGTCAAGTACTTAAATAACCTAGTCCAAAGCTTCTTTAATCGAATATAAAACAGCGCTGAACTAATTAACTTGCACATGTCTAATTAGCTTATTGCATGAAAAATCAAACATAATGCCTGACGATGAGTAATCAAACGAAAAATATCATTAATGAGCAGGGAGCATCAAACAAGTCAACTGGCGTTCGAAGATTATACCATATACGAATACGTTTTTCGTTAGCCTTCAACAATCATTATAATTACAGAATGAAGAATGGCGACCGAATTTTATTTTCTATATTTTGTATCGCCCTATATGGCCCATAACAATATCGACTTTTCACGTTTAGTCACTCTTCGCTGTTTAATAGCTTACTGTAAAAGCATCTGTCGATGTGCTCGGCATGGAGGATAGAAAAAAGAAACAAGGATAGGATTGATGATTCCCAATATATTTTTTAGTGTTCGACATCTACTCTCGATTTATGCCGCAACCGGTGGAGATCAAGGCCGACGTGAGTGTACACGATGACTACGAGATTCTGGAAGAAATCGGCTCTGGTGCTTTCGGCGTTGTTCACCGATGTCGTGAGCGGGCAACCGGACACATCTACGCTGCCAAATTTATCCCGGTGGCACACCCGATGGAAAGATCGTTGATCCGCAAAGAAATTGACATCATGAACCAGCTTCATCATCCCAAGCTCATTAACCTCCACGGGGCTTACGAGGACGACGACGAAATGGTCCTCATTTTCGAATTGTGAGTTTCGTGAACAATTCCGATGTGGATGATACTGATGAATGAGTATATACGTCTGTGACAAGTGGGGGTGTCCAATATTGTAAAAACATTCAGCGATGACTTCCGATTAAAATGCACTGTATTTTTATTTTGATTAATTATTGGGAGAGATCCGAATGCTCCCCAACATGTTTTGATCATGGAATTTTTGTGCAGAAGTCTGGTCATTTTTTGATCCGCTAAGTCAGTAACAAAGCAGATTGAAAAATTTATTTCCGGAGATAAAATGTGAGTTAAATTCAATTATTTCAGCTGCTTCAAAAAAGTGTATCCCGAGTAGCGAGAAATTCTTCCCCGAGAAATTTTCTGCCGCATTCCAAATTGTGTTTACTGTAGCAGTGATTTTGGGGTTGAATAAACCACCCACTGTTTCAATTATATCATTTGGCCGAACCTAATAACATGCAGGAGCCAAGTTTTAAGACGCAGCATGACTGCCGTGTTTTAATTTCTGAAGTTTCGGACAAAACTGACGACTTCAATCTGCCGTGCAATAATCAAAAGTTTTCCATAGTAATCATAATGTATTCTGTTGTTGGAGAAAGTCATTTTCCAGCAAACAGACGGTATCAGAAAGCTCTGTAATATGATGGAGTTTCCGTGTCCAGAACATAAACCAGAAAATGAATGCACAGGAAGCAGGGATTTCTCAATGGTCAGTTCTGTTATTCTTGAAATTTCCGTAATTTTTTTTTTTTAAATTATACGCACAATTTTTTTTTACGATTTCGAAGCATTTTCTTCATACGTCGACTCTTCGTGTATCTGCAATTCTGGGAATGTACCTTTTGTAAATACATAGCGCAATTTTCCTAAAACGATGTGATTAATTTCGCCTGGATTTATTTTACAGTTTGAGTGGAGGAGAATTGTTCGAAAGGATCACCGCTGAAGGTTATACGATGTCGGAAGCCGAAGTCATCAATTACATGCGACAAATTTGCGAGGGTGTCAAGCATATGCACGAGAGGAACATCATCCATTTGGGTAATATGCAGAACTTTATTCTCTCGCATGTTGGGCAGTGGATTTAACTTCGCTGCCGGATTCTCTTCGCATAGATATCAAACCGGAGAACATCATGTGTCAGACTCAGAGGACAACTAACGTGAAATTAATCGATTTCGGGTTGGCGACCAAACTCGATCCGAACGACGTGGTAAAAATTTCAACTGGAACAGCTGAATTCGCTGCTCCTGAAATTGTTGAAAGGGAACCAGTCGGTTTCTACACGGATATGTGGGCTGTTGGCGTTCTTGCCTACGTTCTGTGAGTCAAACGTCGTAAATTTTTTTTTTTCCATCAGCGTCTTCTACATGAACGAGATTTCTGACGAGCACATACAAGATGTGTCTTTTCCGCGCGCAAGAAAATTAAATTTTGAAAGGATCAAAGCCGCTTTTTAGGCGGAAAAAGAGCGGTTAAAATGAAGATCATATCAAAATGATTGTAAATGGATTATTACCTGTCATCGAATTTCTTTCCTAAGTACCAGATTTGCTGCCATGCTGGGCTAAATAGAAAATGGTGGTTATACTGTAATTCTTTTGCGATTACCTCTTATGTTCCTGCTTACGTTTTGAGTTGAAGATCGATAAAAATTGTATTCAAGGGTTCAAAGTAGTGCCTCATAAAATAGACCGTAATCCCATCCAGACCGTGAGTCAAGCGTGAGAAGTTTGCTGTTGAAAATAAAGGTGGGGGTGGAAACATCGAATGATGACGAACTGAAGTCGGCATTTACGGCCGTATTTTTAAATTTTTTGGGTAGAGTGGGCTTAAATTCTTTACACGAAATAATCAAAAGCATACCAATTCTTCGACATGAAAGTCTTGCTCAATTTTTCACAATTTTGCGGGTTGAAATCGGACGTGCCTGTCATGTAAAGGAAATGAGTGTTTACCTCATGAAAACGTCTCTAATGTTTCTGAAATTGACCCAAAGATATTTTACCTGTATAGGTTGAGTGGATTGTCGCCGTTTGCGGGTGAAAATGACATTGACACGCTCAAGAATGTGAAGGCCTGCGACTGGGATTTCGATGAAGAGGCTTTTGCTCACGTGTCCGAAGAGGGCAAGGACTTCATTCGCAGACTTTTGGTGAAAAGCAAAGAGTAAGTGACTGCAAACTAGATGCTTCCAAGTAAGAATAACTGCGATTTTGCCAACTCGATTGGGACTGAGCATATGTCACATTATTTACAATTACTTGTTGATGGTGACAACCCTTTTTAATGCTCAAATATCAATACTGTACTGTGCAAGTTTTCAATAATGGTTAACATCTCTGAGAATTTTTGTAAAATTGTATCTCATTTCAATGATGAGATTTATTGCCATTGCACACAAAAACAGCCCACCTCACGCATGACGGGATGCTGACATGTTTATATTATTTGTATGTTTGATCAATTGTAGTTTTAGAGTACAAAAGGCAAATACATTCCTCGGAATTCTTGTCACACGCTCATTAAATTATTTTCAGGAAACGTATGACAGCGCATGAGTGTTTGATACACGCATGGCTGAAAGGGGAGAGCAAAGCTGGAGCGGAAAGCGTCGGGACTGGGCGACATCTGGCGTACAGGGACAAACTGCGAGCTAAAATTCCCAATTGGGACACATTTCTTCTCCCCATTGGTCGCCTGGCAGAATACTCTTCCCTGCGTCAATTATACGTCGAGAAGTACAAGATACACGAGTTCTTTATTGGTCAGTATGCTTTTCGAATTCTTTGCCTGACGATAAGCTCATTATTGCGATTTTTTAATAGTCAAACTTGCGTTCGTCATTTTTTTGACGTTTTAAAGCTCATGGTGAAATTGAACCCATGTCAAATGCAGAGGGAAATCTAGCCTTCTTGCAGAAAAAATCCTATGCAGGATGCTGCAGTTTATATGTGTTGATTTTGTAAAAACGTCCTTGTTAGGTTCTTTATATTTATGGAAGAACTTGGCATGATTTACTGTCACGGGTCAAACAGATGTCGCCCGCTGACGCGCCGCTTTTCTCGGGACGACTAGATGTCGCCCGAGTCAGAGGAACAAACAGGAGAAGAAAATTCGACGCGGCGTACGAAAACGCCACGTCGTCACAAGATTCGAG